ATCAAAAGAAGCATGGCCAGCAGGGCAAGGGTGGTGATTCTGCCACTCTACTGCTCTCTGTTAAGACCTCACCTGGAGCACTGTGTCCATCTCTGGAGCCCTCAGTACAAGAAGGACATGAGGCTGTTGGAGCAGGTCCAGAGGAGGGCCACAAAAATTATCCAAGGCCTGGAGCACCACTCCTATGAGAAGGATAGGCTGAGGGAGCTGGCGTCGTTCAGCCTGAAGAAGAGAAGGCTCTTGGGAGACCTTATAATGGCCTTCCAGTACCTGAAGAGGGCCTATAAGGAAGATGGGTACAGTCTTTTTAGCTAGGCCTGTTGTAACAGGACAAGGAGTAATGGTTTTAAACTAAGGGAGGGCAGATTTAGACTGGATATAAGGAAGAAATTTTTTACAGTGAGGGTGGTGAAACAGTGGAACAGGTTGCTCAGAAAGGTGGTAGAGGTTCCATCCCTGGAAACATTCAAGGTCAGGTTGGGAGGGGCTCTGAGCAACCTGATCTAGTTTTGGATGTCCCTGCTTACTGCAGGTGGGTTGGACAAGATGACCTCTAAAGGTGCCTTCCAACCCAAAGCATTCTGCTGTTCTGTGAGTCTCCCACAGATCCCGTCTCTTACTTGTAAGCCCCATGTGGGTACTACCAGGTACCCTTGGCCATCCCATTGCACAAGGCACCTGCTGAGGCAATGACATCAAGTCCTTATGCCATGGAGCAGAATGCCAAAGAGGAGCTGGGATCTGGTTTGGAGTGTGCTGTCATACAGAATTAAGGTTTTGGGCTCAGTTTATTTGGAGTAGTTGAGACTTGTCCTTGAAAGTAAGATTGCCCATCTGCCACAAATCTGGACCAGGGAAAGTTGGCAGCCAAGCAGATGGATTCCATAGTTGGCTGCAATGTGACTAAACTGGAGTTAATGGCATCAAACATTATTAGGATATAAGTAAATATTAGGAGTAGTAGTTTATACTCTGTAGGAGCTTGGTATAAAAAAATTACTCTGATGTGTCTTCCAGAAGCAGCTGCCACAAACCAGAAATACTGGTTTCTCTTATTTCTTACCCTCAAAGTTTAAGTGTTTTCATTTTTAAAAAACTATACAATCATACCGTGACTTTCAATTTCAGCATGTTTTCATCTTCATCTCCAATGGCTTTTTACCTGTGAAAAACATGTTCCAGAACTTTGGAACATTAGTTATAGTTGGCAATTTTTGAGCTAGGGGAACTTCTAAAAACTCAGAACTGAGAAGAATCAGCAATTCAAGTGGTTTCCGAGGTCTGTCCTGGATCCACGCAGGAGAGTTGAAGTTGATGTATATGTTCTATGCCATTCATCTCCCACTGATTTTGGCTGAGGGAAGCTTACTCACAGATTCTTGTTTTATTAGAACTGCTTCCATCAAAAATACAGATGCAGCAATACCAAATTTTTACTAGTTTGTCTTGCTGAGTGTCAAAAGCTATCAAGATTTGTGAATCTGCAAAATACTGAACTTCTGAATATAATCTGATTGAAATGTGCATAGTCAGCATTTCTCTCAGTATCTTTCTAAATGTTAAAAATTTTCGGTGTGAATGAAAAATTAATAGTTGCTTTCAGCTCTGATTTTTAATTATTTTTGCAGCTGCCACAATACCATAAAGTCAGTGTTGCAGTGTTCTGTCACAGGGCAGAACAGAACTGTGTGGTGTCCTGTCACTGAGCTGCCTTCCATGTTTATCTTTGCATTTGTTTCAGTATCTAGCTTTTTTTTTTCACCATATATACTGGTGATATAATCTATCTCAGGTAAATCACATATATTACAAGAACCACAATTTAACCAGTTATATCTGATTTCTAATTTCAATTTTATGTCTGTAAGAGACACTATCGTTTCAGCCCTTAGGACTGAAAAACTGAAATTTGTTTTTCTTACGAGACCATTTACTCTGCATTTTTCAAGCTGATCTGGAATGGCAGTCTATAGTAACTTATAGTTCTGAGTGAATTTTACTGGGGTTTTAACTTTCCAGTGCCTTATAGAAAGTCAAAGTGCGTGACGTGCACATTCATATCAGCATGTTTTGTATCTTTTACAGGAGTAGTTGAATGTATGGCAGCCGGCACAGTTATCCTGGCTCACAATTCGGGAGGCCCCAAATTGGATATTGTGGTACCCTATGAAGGACATATTACAGGCTTCCTAGCAGAAAATGAGGACAGTTATGCTGAGACGATGGCTCACATCCTCCATTTGTCTCCTGAGAAAAGGTTGGAGATCAGAGAAAACGCTCGTCGGTCTGTGCACAGGTTTTCTGACCAGCATTTTGAAGAAACATTCCTGTTAGCTGTGGAGCCATTATTTAAATAAGTTAATATTAATAAAAAGGTATATAAATAAAATGAACTTTTTATATTGGACTGTGTCACCTGTAAGTATCTGTAATCTATAATCCCTTCGTCCCATTCAATAAAGAGATTTTTTCTTCTCTGTCAGGGTATCTGCTTTATGTAATAGAGATTTTTTTTACTGGAAAAGAAATGCTCTTGAAAATTTTCTGTGCTGACTACATGACAGTACAGTGCAACTGTACAATATTTCAGTGGTAACAGAGCTAAATCTGGAAGTTCTTTTCTTTATTGAATACTTTACTGCAGCTGAGTCAGTCTTCCCCCATTTCATGACTCTTCACCCACAGTCACACTTTTCAAAATGAACATTTTTGTTTGATAGCTTTTGTACCCAGAAGATTTTTTTCCAGAATCTGTAGCATATTTTCTGTCCCATATTGTGTCACAAAAATTTATTCTGTGGGATTTTAATTGCGGTTCTGGAGATTTCATTACCTACAGTGATGCCTTTAGGTTAATCATACGGTGTTTTTGCTAACTTACTTTTTAGTAAGTAATAATTGCACTCGTCTATGATCCTTATGTTACCCCTTTCTCATGCCCTTTCACAGTATGACAACTTAATGGTATTTTTCCAACCCTACTCTATTGAAAGGTTTTCTTTTCCTAGGGAATAGAAGGGCCTTGATTAGAGGGGATAATTACATACTATACAAATAAAGCCCTAAAGCCCTAAACTGAAGACAAAGTGAACAAAACGTTCAAAAATGGGACATTGCTTTTGTATCAAAAGTGGAAACTAATGTAGTCCTTTTTTGAGCCATCAAAGCAATATTTTTTATTTAAGCAAACTAAGATAAGTGCAAAAAGCTACTGAAGTCAGTCTTCAGAATGTGGTTTCCCTCTAAGGTTCACCTGGATTAAATTAAATTTTGTACATGAAAAGAGATGGTTGGAAGAACGCTATTACTGCTACTACATGAAACTGTTGAGCAGTTGGTGATACTATGTAGGGTCAGTGCTGTGTAAATGAAACTATGGATTTGACAGTACCTACAGATTGTGAAAAGCTGGAAGAGCTGCTTAAAGCAAGGAGTTGATTGAGCTAGGGAAATACAATGCGCTGACTAGGAGACTTTCTTACATGATACAAAAATGGTTAAAGAGAGTATGCAATTAGAAATTTGCTCAAGCAAGTGTTGTCCCAGGTAGTTCAGAATAATAAAGGTGAAAGTGCATTTCAGTCTGGATGAGGATATTTCAATATTCAGACATCAGAAAAGTAGTCTAATTTTTTTTTCCTTTTAAACAAAAATAAAATAGCAACAACTCTGTTCATTTTAATTGAGCGTTTAGCACTGTTGAAAAGCAGTTGATATACTTGGCATTTTATGTCAGCTATCCTTAAATTTTGTTAGTGATGTGGCTAAAATTTCAAACAAGAGCTTTGAAACAGGAACTATGCTGGTGTTCTAGGTAGCTCTTGCTTCCTGCTTGCCTTTTTCATTATGTGTGTCAACACTAAATGACCCATGGTTATTTTCTGAATCATCATCAGATTTGCCAAGTCGTTTGCTAGGTAAACTTCTCTTTTCTTCATCTGTTTGACCTTTATTTATTGAAAGGATGGGAGACTCTGTGGTTCTTTCTGCTGGAGAAGTTGCCACTTTTTCCAGAGATTCCTTCAGTTCGTGTCTCAGTTCATCTTCAGAATCTTCAAAATTGCTGTAAAGAAAATTATATTAATTAAATGTATCTTTGTTACAAGCCTTTCTCCTTTCAAGGCCTTTGAGATGCTTCCTAAATGATTTACAAAGAATATACAAGCAACACACATAATGTGAGCTGTTTCTTCTTTCTCCATGAGATTGTTTATCTATCTGTACCTAGAAGGTAAGAGAGCAGGAGTTGCAAAGCCGTGTTAATACTTCTGCATAACATTTTTAAAGGCAGTATTGGCATGTGACATACTCAATTACAGAATTAAAAGTTAAATTAGCAGACTCTGTAAAACAGTAAGTTTTATTCATGAACAGAAGGAAAGCTTTAGGCAATGCAGCCTGTCATTTCATGAAAGCTGTTCAGTTGCATGGATATTTCCTCTGATGACACTTACGTGTCTTCATCATCTGATCTTGGCTCAAGTCTGCCTTCATCAACAGCAACAGCAGAGTATGTTTCTGAACCATCTTCCCTGTTTTCTTGTGGAGGTAACACAGTTAATCTCCCTTCTGGAAGGGAAGAGAAACATTCCTTGATTTGTATATTAGCTAACTGTAAAAGTGTATGTAAAGTAATAGCAAATAAGTAAATGCTTTGTTTTATTGTGTGTAAATGCTTCATTTTATTCTGTGTTTGTGTTCAAATTACAACAATGTAAATACCATGCTTCTGTTATTCTTGATCATATATTTTAGTCAGTATTTTATAACTTCTGCTCGGTGGAACCTAGTGTATTTGTAGACCATAACCAAAGGACTATAAAAGGTAAGTAAGAAAGGCAATCTGATGTCAGTAGGTTTCAGTTCCCAATACAGAGGTCTGCATTTTCAGTGGAAAACTTAAGTAGTGCTGTTTTGGGAAAGATTGAAAGTTACTGCTTAGATGGAGCTGTGGTTCCCTAAAAATGCTTCAAAGACTGAAGGGCAACCCAAACCTGCAGGTGGGAGAACAACCCTAAGAGTTGCTGTTTTAGTGTAAATTCTGTATGTGCTCCAAAAGAAATCTTTCCATTTGGGTAACACTGTGCTCCATAATGTCAGCATGAGTAGCAGGACAGAACTGGGTATTGAGTGCCATATTTTAATAAATGTAACTGACAAAAGCAACAGCAGTTAGATTACCTGAGCGACTTATTCTTGCTTTAGCCCTATGAACTGCTGACCAGTGAAAAGCAGTTTGAATTTAATTTTCTTTTTTTTTATGTGTAAGCTATAAAGCTAGTCTTAGGAGACAGAGTTAGCTGGTACATGTAGCTGGTTTGTCTCCAGGATGGGGCAGTTTTAAAAGAGCTTGTTATGCTATGAGAATATATAAGAAGATATGGGGTATCATTAGCAACAGAGTGCTGACTGCACAGTTGCAAATGAAATACTTCTCACAGTCCATTAAAATTGTTGAAACTTGGTATGTACAATTAAGCTGGCTTAAAAGGCCCGTCATCCAATTATATATTCAGTAGATTGGCAACTGTGCAAAAAATCCCCACAATGTCTGGTTACATTTACAGCATTTTTCTAGCGAAAACACTGGCTTTTTATAGCTAACAACTTTCAGGCAAAGTCAATGTCATTGTTAAAACAGTCTGTCACTTGAGGAAAGTGTGCTGCAGTGTACGTGAGTTCGAATCAATTTCAGTGTCAGCTGCATCAGCATGGATCATGCTGTAAAGTAAGTCACCACTGCAGGTTATGCCATCATGTACTACCATTTACAGCTGTTCTATGGAAACACGTGTATTTGCACCAAAGTTTTTTACAGGGTTCTTCAATGTCAACAGTCGCAGGGGTGAGATCCAGGTTTGTGGTACCTGCCAACTCGCTGGCAGTAGTAGTTTACCTCTGTCTACACAAGGAAATTAAAAAATTATATATGAAGTAACAGTTCGTAAGTAGGGCTTGTCCTTTTCCCTGCTACTGAAAAGAGAAACACCCTGAAAGAGGCCTTTCACAGCTACAGTGCAGAGCAGTGGCTGCTGGGACAGGCTGCTTATGTTCTTCTAGTTTGCCAACTGCTTCAAAATGTTGGTTCTCATCACAGACCCTCTGCCAATGGTAGAAGAAATTATACACTAAAGAAAAACTTGTAGAATTTACAGTATCAAACATCCTACCTATTTCCTCTTCAAGCTGGCTGAAGGAGTCATTAGATAGCTCTGCTTTTGCTAAGATGTTCAGGAGTGTCTCTGGTGGTGTTTGTTTCCACTGCTTCCTGTTTTTTGGGATGTCTTCAGGCATAGTAGTATGGCCAGCTATAGGACAGACAAGTTCTTGGGTCACAAAAGCATGACTGTGGCTTGGCACTGTCTTTTGACAGATCCTGACTTTCTAGTCTTGATTTCTTTCTTTTGTGTAATGCTGGAGCCTGTTTGTTGATTGGGTTGGGGTTTTTTTGCCTTTGTGGAATACTGAATTTTTAATAAGTATTTGGTCTGATTGATGCCATAGGTAAAAAAATAGTTCATAGTTTGGGTTATTTGTCACTAAAAATTTCTAACATAAATTTTAATAAAGTAAAAGCTCAAGTAACTGCTTATAAGGCCTGGAATAGACAGGTGCAACTTCATTGAGCAGCCCTTAGTCTCAAAACTTGTTGGCTTCTTGGGGCTGAAAAAGCTTCAAAGAACTTCCTGTTTCTGTTGTGTGTGCCGTATGGTCTTTCATCTAAGGCAGAATGAACACTGTTCTGCTTTGTCTTCACTGTTCATGCAAACTCTTCAGGTTGTTTCTGTCCATCTATCTGGGGTGCTGGGAGCATGCTGGAAGAGCCCCTCATTTGCAGTAACCAGTCACTGGAGCTACCTGGCTGCCTGCGAATATATGTACTGGTACCATCAGAAACAGCAGTTAGCTTCATCTGAAAAGGAGCATCACCACAGCCACACCTGTGTGAGGATGCACTTGTGACTGTGTAGAACACCAGAGCATGGAGTGTAAAATCAGAACACCACCACACTCTGGGATGGCACTGGCAGCTGATTGCCTCAGTTCTTGTGTGCCATCAACTAAAAGCCCAAGAAAGTGGTGTTGATTAGTTACACAGACTGGCATTTTCAGCCATTGCTACCCAGGCCACAGAGTAATTAATAAAATGCAGCCCTCGATATGTATGAGCAGCACATCATGACTGCAATATTAGAGGCGGAAATGAGAGTTGCATTCTGTGGTTTCACACGTACAATAACCTCTGTTATTATGAAGTCCTGCAGTTAAAAGACTGACAGATCATGTGAACACTGTGGTATGGAATTGTTTTGACAAAAGTGTCTAAGTAGTCTGGCTGCAGCTTCCTACTTTCACTGAAAAACAAAACTTTCTTACCAAGTTCATTTTCAGTCATAGCAGGACATACAGATGTAACATCAGCATCAGCTAAAAAATTCAGTAGTGTCTGAGGGGCTCCAGATTGCCAGTGTTTTCTGTTTTCTTTTGTATCATCTATGTCATTGGACTCTAAGGGGAAGAAAAAGAGAAGGCAAAGTTACTTCATTTTTTAAAAGTAGATTTCAGTGTGACTCTAATACTATGTGATATATAAAGAGAGCACATCAGATAAACTTGCTATAGCCTGGAGTTACTGAATTTACCTAACTCCTATATAATTTTCAGGATTAATACTCAGCATTGCATTTCCCCATGAAATACCTGTTTGGTATCCAGATAGTTTTTCCAAAGCTCTGTCCACATGATCTTCATAAACTTCCACCAATTCCTCCTGAAGACTCTCACTGTCCACAACAGTTAAAGTCTCACTAAGTTTATCTAGTACCTGAAAAAAACAATAGGTTACTCTGGAAAGAGAAAACAAATACGGGACAATAATTAATTTCTTCTCATTTTACTGTGTTTGCCAGCCATTCTTATGTATGCACAGGCAAACTGTGCAACAAAAAGTGAAGCAGTGGAACTCAAATGTCACATTGTGATTTGCCTATCAGAGGGCTGCATGGGGCTCTGCAGAGATGTGAAACAACAGAATAGCAACATAGTGCTCTATAAATGAAGAATAGATCTACTAGAAAGAAATCATATCTTTGATGTTGCTGGTAAAAATATTTAAAAAATTCTAATATACTAATAAGAATCTTAATAGGTAGCTATTACATGTCAATCAGCTAGAAAATTCATTTTAATGAATGTTGTCTGTAGTCTCACTCCCACCTTTTTAAAATAACAGCTGGTTCACCACAATATTATTCTTGCTTTGTGATACAGTGAAAAGAAAGAGAAATGTACTAAAAACGTTTACAAATGTAATTTGGTATTTGCAGACTAAGTCAGTTTTGAAATGTGTTCTTCCCCTCAGTCTAATTTACAAAATTTAAATATCTGCACTCCTTCATCGACCCAGATATCATTCAACTTTCTTCTAAGCACTTACACTTTTGAAGAAGGTCATATATGTGGAGTATGTCAACAAATCTTCAATAGGAATCTTCATTATAACAAAGGTAGAGATTGATGATAATGCAAACAATTAAACTTCAGATCACAGAGCTACTGCCACGGTTTCAGATTACTAATGTAAATGCTTTGAATATAACTATGACATACCTCTGCTTCTTGAATGCTGTCTTCCTCAGGAACACATGCATCTAAATTAATTTCAAACTTTATTCCTCCCTAAAGAAAATTCACACACTTCATTAATTTATTTAATTAAATAAAAACATTTAATTAAATGTACACAGTTTATATGGAACAACAAACTTCAACATTTTTCTTCTATGGAAAATAAATTTTATTTAATAATAGTTTTCTTCAACTGAACAAGATCAACGCTGAACAAATTGGACAAAAATAGACTGCTCTGAATATAATTTATAGATTTTTTTAAGTTACTGCATCTACTACACAAGACTGGAATATTGCTGATTTTAAGGAAAAAAATATTTTGATAATCATTTAACTCAGTCCTTGAAATACACAGAGTTGGTTCTTACAGCTTGTTCTCAATCAGTTTAACCATCTCAACTAAGTTAAAGTTTGAAATACTGTACTGCTTCTGTGCAGTATTTCACAAAAGACTTTTAGCACACTTCACAATGGTCTTACGGTCAGAAACTTTCCTGATGTCTTATGTTCATTCCCATTCAGTTCCCATCCCCTTTTACAATCTAAAAAGCACTATACAGAATAATGTTTTGCAATAAAATGATAAGAAATCAGCAGCCTGGCTTGACTTCACTTAAACTTAGAGTAAACATGAGTTTCCATACACTACTAATGCAGTTTGATATAAAGATTTGTAGGTAGGGATTGATGACTATTTGGGAATATCTCAAGGGAGTCTCCCTCAAATGATCGGAAAAGCTCTGCTACATATTTCTTAGTGATTCTGCCTTCTCATGGGAACTTTTAACAGTAGACCAGCACTCTTAATTGACTTTCAAATAACTTGATTTCCAGCGTTACCATGATAACACAATAATTTGAAATGTACAGATATAAGAAGAAAATGAAAAAAAATACAACAATAAGGATGGATACCTTTGTGCTATATTTCTTTTCTAAGATGTTTTGGTCTTGCCTATCCTGGAGTCTGACTTGTTTCAAGTTTTCTTCCATGTCCTGGAAGGAGAGAAAAAAATACCAACTTACCCCTCTTCATATTCCTATGTCCTATGTTAGAACATGTCAGATAAAAGCACAGTAAATAATTGTACACCGCTCCTTCAGTAATCTGCTGCAATTAGGGCTTATCCTCAACCTTAGGTGAAACCACAACAATTCACAGATTTTACTTTTTTAAAAATATCTATGCAGTTTCTCCAGTAGACAGAGGGACCATGAACTAAGATGACATCAAGCAGGTGCAAAATCTAGTGTTTCTTTTTCGTTACCATGCATTTTCCATTAAATTACTGGGAATTTAATTTTCGTCCTATCATGGCTCTGGTTGCCTATAACCTACTTTATCCTGTCAGGTGATGTGTGAATTCACCTCATTCAGAGCCAGATTCAGGTTCCAAGAAAATCACTGAAGATAATCCTAATAAACAAGTCAGGACTCAGCCAAACAAACTTTCCAGGCTATTCATGAAGAGAATCTAGGGAGAATTTCACATGTGGCGCAAGCATCAGGTGAGATTTAAGCTTTACTGTTTTTCAGATTTGTCAGAGAGTGAATCAAAGACAACGTGGGACTTGCATAAGAAGTTCTGTTTAGACTGGGAGATGGTACCGATACCTGAAGTGATTCTTCTCCTGTTCCAGCTGTACCCTTGGTGACACACTGGTCCTCAGCTTTCCCTTGCCTCACATGATACGTTTTATCTTGTATTTTTTGGTTCTCCTATGAAACATTTTTATAAAATGTTTATTTCAATTTCTAATTAAGCATACTAGCTTAAAAAAGGAAAAGGAAATATGACTGTGTGTATGTTTGACTTTTGTTACCTGGAGTACTCCTGCTCTAAATCTGAACTCCTTTATATTGCTGTGGTATTCTTCCCGAATTTTCTGCAATTGTTTCAGGTACTCCTATTAAAGAACAGTAAAGTAGAATACATAAGTATTAAAAATACATACAGAAGCAACAAAATAACAAAATATTCTATGGATATCAAACTGTGTATATATGAGAAAATAGGACACTTTGAAGTTATAACTCTTCCAGACTTTAACCTTTTTTAAGTTTTCCAGACTGTTTCATGCTAGATTTTCCATAGAATTATATCTAAAACAGCTAATTCCAAGAATAACCTGAGGACTGGCTGAGTAATGACTCTAAGGCTGCAATCCAAAAATAGAGGACTGGAAATCCGGAGAACAAAAAAAATGTATTATTTATTGTATTGCAACCTGCTCCCCAAAATGAAACAAAACCTGGTAATCCTTTCTTAAAGAAGCTTCAACATTCCTATGCTTTCAAGCAAAAACTTCAAATTTGGCTAAAAGATAATTTTTGTGTTAAAGAACATCTCTGTCACTGTTTATATGAGAGTCTATCCCAATTTGCCTGTTACAAAAGGACAAATCTGTAAAAATTCATTTCTTGGCATATTTAGTACAGACTTTGTGGACATAAACAGCAAAAGTCTCCGAAGAATGGGTACATTATAAGTATGTTCTTATTCCAAAGCCTAATCATTATGTAAAAGTTAATATACTCATATTTACTCTGAGATTTTTCATAAATCAAAAATAGAAAGATCACATGTATTTACATGTGTTCATCTAAGGAAGAAGTTTTAGTTTGTTTTCTCTGTCACCCAAAAGCAAAACCATAGAAGGATATTGTTTCTGTATAAAATAATCTCCAGAAGTTATAATATACTGGGGAAGCAGTATGTATCACATAGTATTATGTCACATTCTAAATGTCATAGTATGTGTTATTAACAGTGGATATACATACATGACTAATGTACATATGACTATTTTCTCTGATTTGTAAATGTGAGGATCTATTGTCCTGCAAAATTAGTTTAAGTGATGCAACTCCTCTAATGTCAGTAGAAGTAAAATCAAAATCAAGGCCATGGCTTACAAAATGACTACTGACATCAGCTTTTGTGCAAGTCTTCACCAGTTTATGTAAGATGGAACGAGATGAAAATAGCTCATATTTTGCTAGTGATCAGATGGAAAAGAATCAATTCTTATGTAAAGAATACTGTTGTCAAGGAGTGTAAGAAGACAGCTGTAAGCAGCTAAGGAAGTTATTTCATTTACCTGTTCTTTCATTTCATTCTTTCTAGACATGTCCCGCTTATGGTTTTTGAGATGCTCTTCCTTTATTTTTTCCTGCTGTATTTGGTCATTATATGGGTCAGCAGAAGATGGTCGCAGTCCCTGTAGATGTACAAATAAATCCCAGAGCAAAGGAATTCTCATTTAAAATTGCTCACTTCAGTAGTCACTGTTCCACTGAACAGTGCAGTAAAGCAAGTGTATATTTTTGGAGGAAAAAGTTATAGCAGAATTTTATATTGCTATAGTTTTGTCTCAGAAAATAAAACCTCAAAATGAGCATTGTGGAGCAGATCAGCGAATATGCTAAAGCAGAAATTTCTACCTATCAGTTTGCTGTTAGAAAGACTTCAGATCACCTTTTGGATTTTCATTCAGTTTCTTGTATATATTTTATTCTATGGTTCAGTATTTACTTACCAGCTGTTTTTCTACTTTAATCTTGTACTGTTGGGCTTCAAAACGCCTTTGAAGATACTCTGCAGTCCTGGGAGAAGAAAGTGATGTTCATATACTACATTTTATTTCATAGGCTCTGCTAACTTCTGCACAAATAATTCTCCATAGATTCTATCACATATGACAAACAGGGCTCTTTGTACTACATTAATATATAAAAATGGATAAAATATTAATAAATATGAAACAACAGCAAAATAACAAAAAGAAAACATATCTACTTCAGGCATTCCCCTTCCTATTACTTCAGTTACATTAGCCTTCTGAAGAGTGCAGCAGAATCCTTCTCCACCTATTATTCGATAAATGGTATGTGAAAGTGTTAAGGAAAATAAAGTTGTTTTTCCTGATCCTGAAAATGAGTGAAAATTGTCAGAGTGGAGGTTGTATATTCAACAACTTTTCTATTTCCTTTCTCCTCCGTACCTAATTCTATGAGCCTAACTTTGTGTTTGCATAGTTTTGTGGTTTTTAAACATTTACGTCTCTTTTTGGTATAAAATAACCAGCAGTCACTTGTAAGCTCTCCTATTTCTATTTATTTCAGTTCCTACCTTCAGAATCCACTTGTGCCCCAGGGAGTCAAACTGAATCGATTCTGTTCTTAAATAAGGCACAAGAAACTCAGCTCAGACAAGATGTTCCAAAGCCCATGATCCTTAACTGAAACATTCTAAACACTGTTGTCAGTGAACGAAAATTAATTATTCAGCCAGCCTTAAAGGAAGGATCCAAAAATAGGCAGTATTAAAAATTCGTTACCTTCCTTTCTCAAGGTTTTCAAAGCTTAACCACACCTAAAATGGCCAATCATGAATGGACAGGCAATCTCTAAAGTAATGAAAAGGTTGTGCCTCTACTTTGTAAGAGAAAGGCTTTGAAGTAAACAAACTGCTGGAGAAAGGGTCTTTATATCTGAAAACAAAATATAAGCTTTGCGGGGAAAAAAAAACATTTTCATGGCCTGCCTCCCACTCTGTTCCCTCAAGTGGAGATCTGCTTTTGTTCTTTCTATCATTCTGATCCTGTCAGGAAGGAAAGATAGTGTTTATCCTTGATATAATCAGAAAGTCTACAAAAAGCCTGTGTTTTACCTCTCACCCAATAAAATGCTGAGATTTGGGAGACATGCTGACAATTACATGTCAAACATCAGGATAATACATTCAGAAGGAACTTCTGTATAGACAGGAACAGGAGCTAGGTTGCTGTGCAATAAACTCATGTAAAAAAATTACCAAAGACTGAGCAGAGAATCATACTGAATGAGCCATGTCCAGCGTTACCTAATCAGGAAGGCTGATAACTCAAAACAGTTCACTACTAATAAATAGAGTGAGAAAAGTTTACCAGTCGGGTGGTGGGGGTGGAGGTGCAACTTGTCCTTTTAGTTCATAGTATTCCTCAAGTCTTTGGGTGATATGAGAAAGGTCGTAATGTACGTTAGCTTTCCTCTGCAAGTTGTCAAGTTTATCATAGTAATGACCGTAATGGCCATGTACTCTAATCCTTTCTGCCATCTTAAATCTGGAGCTCTGTGGCTGAAAATATAATAAAGGATGTTAATTTACCCACTTTCGTTTGTATCAGTACAAGTTTGAATTAACTTCCTGTCCTTCTCCCCAGACTGAGTTGCATGGTGCAGACTGTCTACAGCATAGTTAGTGTAAGTTCTCCAAATCCTTTTACATATAACCCAGAAACTTCCTAATTTCTCAGGGCATATGTAATCTTACCATTGTCTTTTCCTTTCCCCCTGTTTCATCAGTTTCTGTCATTCAGCAGCAGCCCATATTGTTGTGTGAGTCAATCAGCATGGGGCTTTGTACCCTGCAGTGTCATTGCCCTAGAGCCACTCCATTGTTCTGAAGCCTAAAGCACTGAATTAATTCCAGGAGAATCTTATTTTGACATGTGAGAGCAAGGGGAATCTGGGATGCAGTTCTGGGCAGCATACACATTGCCTGTTGCTTTCAGGGGAGCACTGTGCTATTTCGTATCACCATCTCTTTGATTATGTGCCTATGGGAGCTTGCCTTTCATTCCTCAAAGCCCTTACTGTGATGAAACATCCCTGTATTTCTACTTTGTGACAAGACTGTCTTTTCCATTTCTCATAAGACCAATGGAGAGAAGGTGATTGTCTTAGCTGCCACCACATGATAAAAAAGAAGCATGGTAAGACATCCACAAACTTTTCCACGGTGGGAGACTGAACACTATATAGTGTATTCTTACATAAATGAAAAAGCAGCTAAGTATCCTTTCCTTAGATGGTAAATACATTAACTATTCCTCTCTGTTATCCTTCTTAGAAACACTTAAAATAGGCTCATCTACCTGCTGCATAGTACAGATTGCAGTAGAATATAACTTCCTATCTATGTAAGAACAAAAATTTTCCACTGCCAATAAAGTTCCCAAGAGGTAACTTCAAAAAGTGTATCTTGTCCCTTATTGAAATATGTTTTACAGTATGGTATCCAGAAGTATGGCAATTCTAAGCAATAGTGAGAACAAATCAGGCCTGTGATCAGTGAAGCAGGTGCCCTGGTGACACAGGCCATGGAAAAGGCTGAGGTACTGAATGCCTGCTTTGCCTCAGCCTTTACTAGCAAGACCAGGCTTCAGGAATCCCAGCCCCTGTGACTAGGGAGGAAAGTTTGGAGTGGGAAGACGCACCCTTGGTGGAAATAAATCAGGTTAAGAATACATAAAAAGACTGGACAAATGTAAGTACAAATGTAATTTACCCTTGGTGGAAATAGATCAGGTTAGAGAATATGTAAACAGACTGGACAAATACAAGTCCACAGGCCCTGATAGGATGCACCCATGAGTACTGAGAGAGCGGGCAGGTGTCACTGTCAAGCCACTCTCTATTACCTTTGATTGATCATGGTGACTGAGAGAAGTGTCCAAGGACTGGAAAAAAGCAAATGTCACTCATATCTTCAAAAAGAGCAGGAAGGAGAACCCAGGGAACTACAGGCTGGTCAGCCTCACCTTAATGCCTAGCAAGGTGATGGAACAACTAACCCTGGCAACTATTTCCAGGCACTTAAAGGACAAGAAGGTGATAGGGAGTAGTCAGCATGGCTTTACCAAGGGGAAGTCATGCTCAACCAAGCCTGCAACCTTTTACAGGGAAATGACTGGCTTGGTAGACAAAGGGAGAGGATTGCTTGAGGGTTGAGAGGATTGTTTGAGAGCTGCAGTTCTGGGAACTCCACAATTCCCCACCACCACTCAATCCACCATAACTGCACTGTGCAATTACTGCTGGGAGCTCCCAGATCCTAAATGTGCTTTGCTCTGTGTTCACCAGCACCCAATGCGGTACTACATGCTCTTCAATATAAGCATAAAGGAATGAAGTGATGTCAAACAAGAAGCTAGAGACAGCATACAGCTGATATCCATCCTGAGGAAACAAGGGGGTGAAAAGCAGGTGAAGGACACAAGTGGTTGTGAAAAACTGGGGCTTTCTGCTGTAGAGTCTGGTCTCGGTTTGTTGTAACAGCATCTGAGACAAGTGCAGTGGGTACCAGTGGTTTTGCCCATGAATGGGCTCTCAGAAGATCTGAGGTAAGAGGATCAGTGTGTTTGCTTCTATAGCAAAAACACGAAGAGAGTTATTTGCCTTTGTGCAAATATAAATGCAAAGCACGTCTGACTTCTTTTATTACAAAGGACCATACTGAAGCAACCTATATTTGGTGTTTCCCACTCAGGCTTTCTAAAACACCTCTTCTGAGGCTTCAGGAATGCTTAACTGTCTCTACTGTCTTGGTGTAGGCATTTAGCTGAATTTAATACGTCTTAGTGAGGGTATTTTATAAGAGAGAAGTTTGCCTTCTGAAGATGATTAAATATTACAAGAACGTGGATGCACATTACCTGAAAAATAGGCTGTTGCCCTCTTGAAGGAGGTTTCCATTCATTTCTTTGAAATAATTCCTGTTGCTTGACAGACAGCACCATTCCAGATTCTGGAGAAACTTGGTCCTGGACTCCCCTTTTTTGAAGTTTATCTGCTTTTTAACAACAAAATATTAAAAGATTACCTTCTGAGCTCTCTGCATGATTAATGATCAATGTAGCTGCAAAGCACAGTAGGGGACATACACCTAACATTGACAGGTTTGGCTAACAAACACTCTTTATGTCCTTTCATCATCATCACCATCATTGTCATTACCATACTTCACACTTCCTAGGCATTCTGCCCTTCATTCTTAGAAAGCTTTTGAAAGCACTATGATTTGTCATACTCATGTAAAGTGGATCTTATTGATTAGTTTGCAAAGAAGCACACTGAATAAAAGGGAGGCCTCTGTAAACTAGAATGCTGATTTGATGCTACTGCCAAGAACAGGAAATAGGAGGTCTGATTCTTAGGCTCAGATTTCACTGGAGGCTATGTGTCTACCGGCTTAGGCATTCCCTTTCTAAAACTAGCCAATGGTATTCTACAAATCACTAGACAATCTTGTAGTACTTGTGAAATTTGGACAGAAGAGCTGAAAAGTGAAAAATCTACCTTACCAGTTCCTCATGAAGGAGAAAATAAAAGTAAACACCATTCCAGTTTGGTTAGTCAGTATTTTGCAAATACTTTAGCTGCAATAAGGAAATGTTGTGTCTTCACAGAATCACAGAATCTTAGGAG